CACACACACACACACACACACACACACATACACACACACACACACACACACTAAAGCGTCATAAACCTGACAGCTGGTTTGGGTTTTTCAGTTTTGGATCTGAAACAGATGGTAAACTCAGAAAGTCAGAATACCTCGCTCTCTTTCTCTCACTCTCCCTGTCTGAATGTCTTTGTGTTTTCATTTCTTCTAAGGAATGTATTAAAGAAAAATAACATTTACGTCAGCCATAGATTTTGTGGATTTAAGGATTCCTGTTGACCCACTGAAAGGTTCAACTTTGCCTTGGCATAACATCCTCTGTGCTTGCCTCATTGTTCACCTCCGTGTTGTTGTATGTCCTTTTCCCCAGCACTGTACCACCCTATTGTTGAATTCAGAGACCGTTTGGACTGGACGATGCCCAGAGAGCAATACAATGTGCCAAAGAGAAGACAGTAAACAACAGGAATCACACAAGCCTTGAGCTTTGCCACTGACTTCACTTTGGACCTAATCTCCCACAGTCTGTATCCTGCCTCCACCTCTGAGCCAGAATGCTCTCATGTTAGTTTAGACCCGCCCAGACGCAGCAGGCTGCACGAACAAAACATATCCTCCAAAGTGGACACCATGTCCAGCTGCACTCTCTCATTAAATAATAAAAAATGGCTATAATGAATATTTCTATACAAACAGGGTTGTTTAGGGTGATGAATTCAGATCTTATCAGCCAGCCATGCAGTTTCCCTCTGCTCTACGGAGAACTAATTGTTTTGGTTTTGTATTGCTCTACTGTTTTGGTTTACTCCCACAGCTCCCATAGCGTTGTTTATGGCTATCTAAGGCTTTAAGAAAAAACTCAGATAAACACAGTACACTTCCTGCCCAGCTTCAACCTCCTGAAAACAGTTTAGCTACCAGCTGGTAAAATATAGGCGAGGCGAGGCAAGTTTATTTATATGGCATATTTCAACAAAAAAGCAACTCAAAGTGCTTTGTTAAAACAATCATTAAGACCTAGTGCATAAGAAACACATTATTATTACATTTAAAGAGAAATAATGGAATATTTAGCAGCTGTAAAGTATAATATCTTTCTCGGATGAGTCCAACAGCAGAGCTAAAACAGTTATATTTGTTAGATGAACACAAATATGTCTCTAAATAAATGGTTATGCTCAATAAGTGCTTGATGTGTAAATAAGAAGATTGATAACAGTTTGTGTACATTAATCTTTTATCTCATGAAGCTACAGCAAGCACTTAGTTTGCTTAACTTAGTTTAGCATTAAGACTGACAACAGCTAACAGGTCTATACAACAACATCTATACCAGGACCTTCAAAGGTCACTAATCTGCACAAAAAGAAGAGAATAACAACAGCAAGTTACTGGTTATGGGACTTATATACAGTATGTCAGACTATTTCCTGCAGTCAAAGGCTTGGATCGGTGGCTTAATCGTGTCTTGACGTATAGGCCTTGCAAACTCTTGGTGATGACAGGACGACAGGAAGGATATTGCGTGCTAATCAGTGTTCTTTAGAGGTGCTGGTATATGTTTTCTATTTTTGGGCTTGAAAGGCTGACAGTTCCTCCATATTTACAGTCTGTATGAGAAGTTAAGTTAATCAGCTCTTGGCTTCACATATAACAGACACAAAAATGGTAACCATCTCCTCATCTCTTAGTAAGTGAATAAGCTCATGTCCAAAACTGGAAAACTAAACTCCATATAAACAAGCATTAAAAGAAAACGTATAGACAAGCATAAAATAATCTGATATCTCAATTGGAGTTAACTGTGCCGTCTGTGCTTTACAGAAGCTGTTTAAAAAATGAGAACAGATCATTGTGACAAATATTTTTGTGAGGAAATGGGTTTAGTCTGTCTGTCTGTGAGCTCAGATATCAAGTCCTGGTGGATACAAAGCTCAGGATGAGTGAGTCAGACGAATCCCACCCCATCCTGCCCCGTCATTGGCCTCTCAGAGAAAGTACTGTAGAGTTATATTTGTATTTATTCATGTTAGCAAACTATGGATAAGCTTAAAATGGGAATAATTTGGGTAAAACTGTGAGCTGCATTTGGGGCCTGTTGACATGTGTTTTTGAGGACAAAGGAAGATGGGGGAAGGTGAGAGCATGTCCTGATTTGCATTCAACTTAGATCTAGCTGCAGGGTTTGTGATGTTAAGAGAGGTCCCTTGGGTTTCTCTGGTGCTTATCAATAGTAGCAGTTAAGTGAATACTGTTCAAACAATACCTGTGTTTGTGTTTTATATTGATTTCTCTGTTTTATCCTTTCATAAATGTAAGGACTACAAATGGCTATAAACATTCTGGGCTGGTTGGAGTAAACAGGGTTTTATGGCTCTGTGGGGGAGGTGTAGGTATGCAGGCCTTGAGACCTTTTGTTGTAAAGTGAGCCTGTTTGGTTTCCTGCTGCGTTTCCTGCTGCGTTGCGTCTCCCAATGAGATGACCTGAAAAGATGACCAGCTGACCTAACACCAAACCCCTCCTTCTTACTCTGGTATATATCCGGTGGATCCCTGGCGTTCGGCCTCTTCTTCACATGCTGCCCTCGGGTGAAAGTAGCTCTGCGGTATGCGGACTAGAGCAGGAGTAAGCCGGCATTACTCCTTAAGCATTGCAATATAACTGTAATATATCATGTTGTATTGTAATGATTGTATTGCATTGTCATATTGCCATTAAAGTAGATTATTGTTAACGGTTACTTTGTAGATATGGATTCCTTCCTGTATTATAACCAGCTTCATAGGAACGCGCGGAGATTTGAAAAGCGGACCAGTTATCCCTTTAAATCTCCAACAGTACCCAGCACATTTCTCTTCATTTCTAATAGGCAAGGCAAGTTTATTTATATAGCACCTTTCAACACAAGGCAATTCAAGGTGCTTTACAAAAATGAAAGACATTCAGACAAAGGCATTTAAAAACAGTCATTAAAAATAAAAGATAATAAAAGAAACATTAAAAGACTGTCAAAGTTTTCCCCAAAACTAAGAAAATACCCATAGTCGTACCTAGTAACCCACTATAAAATAGTCGTACCTTGTATCTTACTATAAAGCTCACAATAGTTTTAGTAAAACTAAGAAAATGTACCCTATAGTCCACCCTCGAACTATAAGATCCTTTAGTTTTTCCCGAAACTATTAAAACTGGCCTCTAGTTTGACCCACAAACTATTTTCTCCAAGGCCTCTAGTTTGACCCACAAACCATTTAAAAGTACTTTAGCTAAGTTTACCTGTGTCTTTCTAGGACTTTTTTGGTATCCTTTCCGCGAACCAGGGGTTTGAAACCAAAACGGTGCCTGTATTGACGTTCTTTCCTGTGTCGGTGAAATATCACTCGACACCAGGTTGAGAATCAATGATCAGGTAATAAAAAGTACATGAATAAAAAGTTACAGTGCAGTTTAAGATATGAATAGTTCACACAGAAGTTCCACTTTACTGATGAACACAACGGCTCAGTTTCAATACACACTTTCTCTGTCCTCCATTTTTCTGAAGGTAAATGCTTACATGACTTCAGCTTGTTTAATCTGTACCAGAAGCAGTGGGAACTATCTTGCCATTTGTTAACATGTAAATAGTTCCCATGTGTGTTTTGCTGGAGAAGAGGCCATTAGAGACTGAACGTTTACATAAGCAAGTAAACAAATAGTTTAAGTCTAAAAAAGGAAAAGACGCCACAGCTGGTTTCTGTTCAAAGTGGTGATCACTGTGATACATACATTCTAAAGGAATGTTTTGTTGTAAGAAAAATAATCACAAAGGGTCGAACAAACTGTGCTCATCATCCACAAATAGTATGTGCTCTAAAAATGGCTTTTTCTGTGATGTACTGTTTATCTAATTTGAAGTATGGCTGCGAACAGGAAGTAGATCTACTTTAGCATCTCCAAGGATTCTCCTCAGACATGCTGTCCTCCTTCGTCCCTTGAAAGTGTGTGGGTGGATGTTTGGATCTCACACAGACTTTAACAAATTACTTCAGCTCTGTATTCTGATACTCAGAAACAACACCATGGAAATCATATCGATACAATAGGCTACATACTTCTATCCTGGTGTGAGCCCAATTCAGTTCCTGCTTGCTTACTATTTTCTAATAGATGTCTTTTTATGTGTAGTAAACCTGAGTTTTAATGCAAAACACTTTCTAAACTTTACATAAAACAGTAAAGTGTAATTCAACTAAGAAAACGTACTCACACGAGGTGGAGAGTCACTGATGCCCCCAACAACACTACTAACACCTCTGCTAAGTATAGACAAAAATACATGTAAATCTACAGGAACATTGCATTAGATTTTCTTTTTACCCAAAATGTACTAACTAGTTAAAAGTATATTTTGGAATTAAAGTGTTTAATTGTAAGTCTTTATTTTGTTAAGCATGGTTTGGATTTGCATTGGATGTTCTCAGATCAGGGCTTGTTCCCCACCAGACACCAAAGCAAATCCCTTGTAAACCAATAAACTTGATTGTGATTGTGATTTAAAATGAAGACAGAGAATTTGTTGGAATAAAATCTAAAAAAAAAAATTCACTTGGTTGCCTTTTTGTTGTTGTTGATGTTTTCTTTTTGTAGTTAGTTATGCTGCTTATATGATGCTCTTATTGTGAAGCACTTATCCACTTTAACGTTTTGAAAAAAGCAATTTAATAGTAAATACCTCATTATAACCGTAATTAATTATCTTTTTGTGGCAACATCGGATTACATAAATGGTACGACTAAAGTGAAGAGTGACCGGATGAATTCTCAAGAATCCATTGTGTTGTTATTTTTTGCAGCCACACTGATTTTCATGGCATTAAAACACACACAAAAAAGGTTCCCAATTCAAAGCAAATGGTTGGTCTTTGTTATGGGTCATTTGGATAATTGCCTTTTGGATGTGTCTGCTGCTGTGTGCCGGGAAGCTGACCTCAGAGCTGAGGAATGTCTCTGCTGAAGACCCTGCGGACTGTGGGCGGGTCGCAGCTCTGTGTCACTCTCTGGTGCTGAGGAGCCCCAGAAACACACCGGAGGAGGCAAGAGAAACAACTAAACGCAGATTACCGATATTCAATATTTTATCTCCTGTTTTTGAGGCTTCATTTTCTCAGCAGCAACATGTTTTCAATGTGTCCAAAAACGTTGCTGTTGCTTCTGGTCGGAGCCTGTGCTGCCTCGGCTGCAGCCAACAGCGGTAAGAGGACTTTCATTCACTTTTTATTCATTTAAAGCAGCGTATTTAATAGGACAGATTGAATGATGTGGGCTATATACTTTGTACAACAATACATCTTGGTATAAAGTGTATGATTCACAATGATTTACTGTATAATAAGGTAGTGTACTGAATCAGCTGTTAACGTTAATGTTTCAGTAATTATTTTGGTGGTATCCAGTATTAACCTGTCTTTGGTTTCAACTTCTCAATTAATCAAATATGAGGTTTGTTGCTTTGCTTTTCAAAAAATAATTTAAAATTGAACATCTTTGGGTTTTGTACATTTGGTCAAACAAAACAAGGCATTTAATGACGTCACCTTGAACTTTGGGAATTAAAATAACTTTGAATTGTAGTCCTGTATAAAACAGGGCGGAAATAACGAGTAAATAAAATAAAACAATGTTAAGTTTCGATTGATTTGTCGACGTATATGAAAGGTCTAAATAAGTGGGGAAAATGCCAATAATTATTCCCAGAGCCCAAGGTGTTGGCTTCAAATGTTGTTGTTTGTCAACCAAACTCCACACAACCCAACATATATTCAGATTTGATTTTAGTGAGGGACTGGGGATGGAAATTAGCTCAAAGCTAAATCTGACACTGTTACGCTTGATACATTTGAATGTTTTAAGTGTTCATTACTGTGCATTGTCCCTGCCAAATAAACGATTAAATAAAATAAATCTTTAAAATATTACTGAAACCATTAATCTAAATAATATCTTTTCATTATTCTTTGTGAAATACATTTCTCTAACAAATGGCTAATTGATTTACGGCTGAAACTACAATATCTATTATTTCAATCATCAATAAAGCTGCTGATAATACTCCTAAATTGATAATATTGTCTACAATTCACCATCATTTCCCAGGGCCCAGTTGAAATACTCAAATTGATTGTTTTGTGATATTCAGATAATATATTCATTTTAATATATCAAAAGAAGAAAAAAAACAATATTGCCATACCAGGAACCAGTTAATTATCGGCATTTTTTTTTATTAGAAAAGTGCTTATAACAATAATTGAGTAATACAATGGATGTTTATTACAATCGTTTTTCTGTGATTAATAAACTAAATATTATAAATGTAGTATGTAAGTATGTAGCACTAGCTCCATAAATACGTCCAGTTTATACCCATAATAAACTAGCATTTCTTTCTTTCTCCAGATCATTTAACGGAGGACCTTTTGAGGACCTTTTCCGTCTTCAACCCTTTAGCCACAGATGAACCGATAGATATGGATGACTATGGTGAAGGTGGTGATGTCCAACTCAATGGCTCTAGAAGAGTTTGGATGCCTAATATCAATGTCTCCAAGGAGATCTCAGAGGAGGCGCTGCTGTTTCTAACGGGCCCCGTGTCCACCATCCTAATCCCGTCCTTTTACATGCTGGTCTGCCTCATCAGCGTTCCCATCAACATCTGTGCGGTGCTGGCCTTCGCTCGGAGGATCCGCCCTAAGAAACCGGCAGCCATCTACATGCTGAACCTGGCCTGTGCTGACCTGCTCTTCGCCGTGCTGCTCCCCTTCAAGATCTCCTACCACTTCGGTGGCAACAACTGGATATTCGGCGGGCTCATGTGCCGTGTGGTCACTGCAGCGTTTTACTGGAACATGTATTGCTCTGTTCTCCTCATAGCTTGCATCAGCGTGGACCGGCTGATCGCTGTAGTCTATCCCATCGACTCCCTGTCTTGGAGAAGGCCGAGGAATGCAAACTTAGCCTGTGTCTGCATGTGGATACTGTCCCTGGCTGGATCTGTGCCACTCGTCCTCTCCGACCAGACCTATCACCTCAGAGAGTTGGACATCACCACCTGCCATGATGTCCAACGCGTCGATGAGCTCATCGGGCACTACAAGATCTACTTCATCACCCTCTGCTGCGTCCTCTTCTTCCTGCCTCTGCTCATCACCGTGGTGTCCTATGCTTGGGTGATCTGGGCGCTGAGCAGAGTCCCGCGCGGGGCTCCAGGACGCTCACGCAGAAGATCAAGAGCAGTGGTGATGGCTTTAACCGTGCTGGTGATGTTTGTGCTGTGCTTCACCCCCACAAACTGTCTTCTGTTGGCGCACTACCTGCAGTTTAACGAGGGTGTCGAAAGCCAGGAGGCCCCCGATGGCTCCTACGCAGTCTATCTGGTGTTTTTGTGTCTCGGGAGTCTCAACTGCCTCCTGGATCCTATGGTCTACTACTTTGGATCATCCCAATGCCAGCGACAACTTTCCAGCGCGCTAAGGTGTCAGAAGATCACAGAGGGCAGCAGCAGCAGCAGTCAGTCTTCATCCAATTCATGCAGATCCAGCTCCAGAACAATTCTCAAATCCAGCTGTGCAGACAGCTCCAAAATAAGCACTCAGAGCACCAACATGGACTCTTTCCAAGCGAACCTCCACAGCCAATACAAGAAGCTGCTCGTCTGATGGACTCACATTGAGCAGACTTCATTGAAGTGACTTAACTGACTCCTACCTGTTTACAACAGTATTTGACTATGAAGTCCAAGTATTGGCAAACAACAAGCACAAGTTAGTCCGAGGGGTTTACTGTATGTATTCTTATTATTATAATAAAGGGAAGAGAACTGAACCTCAAGCCAACAGAAATGACTTAAAGTCTTGGTTTCATAACAACAAATGTGCAATGACATTCTATGTGCCTTTTGAATTCAGTAGCCTCAGAAAAGGAAGGAAGTTCCGACTAGATAAAAACTATTCTGCTGAACAGTTGATACTATGAAGTATAGCCTTAAAAAAGGAAGGAAGTTGGAATAAGATAACTCTGCTGAACATTTAATACTATGAAATGTTTTTACTTTTGCACTGTATGTGTAAGAGCTTATGAGTGTATAAGCTGCAAACATTGTTAATATATAATGGAAGGAAACAATTATTCTTTTTTTGTCTAGTGAAAAGCTTATTTTCAAGCACGAAAAAGCTTTCTTAATCATGTCTTTCTTTTAAATATAAATATATTTACAACTTTTTGTGTACCACTTTTGGTCTCTGAATGAATATGTTATATCATCATGTGTTTTAAAGATATCCAACAGTATTAGGCATAGTTTATTTCATGCTGCTCTCTGCGGGTCAAACATTTGAGTAGTTTATCATGTAAAGCAGTCATTTCACATTATTGTCATTCTTCTCCAGCAGGCAGCGCTACTACACTGTTAATAAAATGTAACCTGAAGGATAACCTTTTCACTGTGTATCTGTTTTAGCACAGTCATGTGATAGTGTAAAGGAATACTGACCGAATAAAAACTTCTTGAATATTTCAATACAAGCTAAAATACCACTTTTTCTGTTGGGATGTTATATTTAACTATTTTCCATTTTTAAATAAGTACAAGTATAAGTTTGTATCCTGTGCAGCTATCTATCTTGGCCAGGACACCCTTGAAAATGATGATTTAATCTCAATGGGACCTGAGGTTAAATTACTGCTTATTCAATATGAAGGAATTAATTGACAGACTAGTCTAATAAAGAAAGAAACTAGGGGACAGCCAGCAGTTCAAACAAAAGCATAGCAAAACACACGTACCCATGTGTGTATTTTTACATGTACCGCAGGTTCTGTTCTGCAGTAGAACACAGAAGTAGGTCTGAATAAGACATTAATTATATCATACTTTAGGAGATGAATCATCTTTGCGTTTCAAAGGTGATGCTAACATTATTGAGTAAAAATGCTAAATGTAAAAATACTCGTAAAACACGTAGAAATACTGCATTCAAAGCCATACTCAAGTAAAAGATCCAAAGTAAATACAAAAATATAGTCAAAGTACTAATAGCAAAATTCCTGTTTTGCAGAATGTCCAATTTCAGACTTGTATATTACATTACTCAATAATAGTTGAAAAAAAGTACAATATTTGAGAAGGAGTTGAAAGTAGCATAACATTGAAATACTTAAGCCTTCAAGGGCTCAAAATTGTACCTGAGTACAGCAGTTTAGTAAATGTAATTAATAAAATGCAACCACTCTCTATTATATATAATAGAATATTGTAGTATTGCACATATATAATCAGGGTCTTGATAGGAGGGCAATACGCACCAAATATTCATAAATAACACCTAACCAGATGCATTAAATAAAGGTACAATGAGCTGCTTAATATCAAAGTTATTTTAACACCATATTAGATATTATTATAGTGTGTGGCACATGACCTGATAAACCGGCAACACTTTACTTCCGCCCGCCCTATCTCTGTTCCGTGTCACGATCACGATACGATACGCTACGCGAAATCACGTGACTGAGTGACATCACGCAGGTGTCAAAACAGGTCTATATGAAGAAGGGATGGCAGTAAAGACATCGACATACAGAGCCACACCTGCGGACACTACTCCCTTCTATTTTTTGCAGTCATGGCTGTTAGCACGCAATGTTTTCACCTGTTCCTCCTTTTGTGCTGCCTGCAGACCTGCCTTTCAGAGAAAGGTAAAATCCATCCGTTTATTTCCATCTCTGTTGTTTTTATTATCTTCAAACAATTAACTCAGATAAGATTTGCGACCAGAAAGTGTTTTACTAACCTACATTTGTCGGCAACAGGCCCTGATTGACCTTAGGCTTGGTTAGGCATTCAAAACCAGTCTGATATTACTCGATAACAAAGGCAAAGTAGAACGTTGTTAAACCGGATGACTCGTGCTGGAAACCCAAATTGTAATGTAGAGAATCGGCCAAACAGCTGAAAGAAACTGAGTCTCGTTGTAAAATAAATACATATACTCAAGTCCTTTTTTAAGTTACATTAAATATTGCTTTATACTTCACTTCATTTTCTAACTAGTTTCTTTATTATTTTTCTGTCCAGTGAAACGTTGGGATTTCTTAATGTTTATTGTAAACTAAAGGATTTAGTGTTCCTTTTAAAAAGTTTTAGAAACACTTCCCAACTTCTTAATTAATCTAAATAAACTTTTTAATAACCATTTTGAGCATCTTCTTGAACTTGAATTATCATCACAAAGCTAAAAACATGGCTGCCTGTCTGGCCTCATTAAAAGCTGACTTTACAGGGCTCACATGACAGCGAAGCTACAAATATATGAATATCTTACGCAATTTGATACATTGTTTTAAACTACACAACATTATATATAGGAGTTTAAAGAAAGCACAACCTTCAACATCTACTGCAGTAAAAATGGATATGCAACCTAATAAAACTGGAAGTGATCTATTTGTTCTTGTTGTTGTTGCAGAAACTACTTACAAACTTTTAATCAAGTAAAGTTTTAAATGCAGAACCTTTACTTGTAGTGGAGCATTTTCAAAGTGTGCTTTTGGTACCCTTATGTCATTTTTAACTAAAGGATTGGAATACTTCTTCCAGTCTAACATGTAGTTAAATTCATAGTATGTTCCTTCAGGTATTGTTAACCGGTTTTACTTCTGCCTTTATCTGTTTTCATATCATGTTGTGACTCAGACGAAAGAGGCTTCGGTGGTACAGAGACCAACGACGGGGTGTGGGTCAGCCCCCAAGCCCGAAAAGCCTTGAGCAGCAACCTCACCACGGTCTTCCTCCCCATCATCTACATCATCGTGTTTGCTGTGGGGCTGCCCACCAACGCCTTGGCAATCTGGGTGTTCCTCTTCCGGACCAAGACAAAGCACCCGTCCTCCATCTACATGGCCAACCTGGCTGTGTCTGACCTGCTCTTCATCATCTGGGTCCCCCTAAAGATAGCGTACCACTTCAACAGCAACAACTGGATCTACGGAGAAGGGTTGTGCAAAGTGATGGTGGCCTTTTTCTACGGCAACATGTACTGCTCCATCGCCTTCATCGCCTGTATCAGTGTTCAGCGTTACTGGGCCGTGGTCCACCCGCTGTCCCATCACCAGAAGGACAACCGTCTAGCCATCGGCATCTCCGTCACCATCTGGTTGTTGGTGTGGCTCATCACCATCCCTCTGTACCTGTACGACCAAGAGGTGCGTGTCAGCAACCTCGATATCTACACCTGCCATGACGTCACCAGGCCCAGTCAGAAGAAAATCGCTGCAGGCTACTTCCTGACAATGGGAACTCTTGGATTTGTCGCTCCCACCATCGTGATCATCATATCCTACGTCCTGATTCTCAGGGCTTTGAGGAACAGCATGGCAGACCCTGCCATCGCCAAGAAGCGCAGGAAGGCTGTGGTGTTGATCATCACAGTGCTGGTGATGTTTTTAGTGTGCTTCACCCCCAGTAACATCATGCTGCTGGTGCACTACATTCTCCTGTTGGGAGAGGCTAACAACAACCTGTACGGGTTTTACATCACCACGCTGTGCTTGGCGAGTCTCAACAGCTGCTTCGACCCTTTTATTTATTACTTCATCTCAGAGGACTTCAGAGACCATGTGAAGAACACGTTCCTCTGCAGGAGTGAGAGGACAGTGGAGAGGATGAGGGTCTCCTTTAGTGCCCTCAAATACTCCAAGAAGAACAACACTTTCACGTCTAGTTCAGGGAACAATCCGACTCAGAGCACCGAGTGCTAGTGAATTGTTTTTTTAATTCTTCATTATTAACTTTGCTCAGGTATAAACTAACATGGATTTCTTTGGGAAAAAACGTTGGAGTCATCTGTGTCAAAGAACTCCAACAAGCTCTGAGCTGTCTGAGTTACTGCTTCGGTTATTTCTAATTTTGTAAATATATTTAAATGTTTTTATATCTTAGCACTTTCCTGATGTATTCATCTGCAGTTTTATTTGATTTCAATGGGACTTACAACATTAAACTTTTGTATTTTTTTGTAAATGTATGTGTGTGTTATTTTAGACCAGGCTGTTAATTGAAATGCATTTGCTGTCTTTGGCAGAGACCTTACATTTTGCATCTTGTATGATACAAGCCTGAAACATGTATTCATCTATATGTGTTTTTAAAGTATCCATTACAAATTGTTTAACCTTATTGTTAAAGTTTGTCAATAAAAGTTTTTTAAAAGGTTTCTTTCATTAGTACTTTCTGTAGACCCTGAAAAGTCTTGAACGGGTATTTCTGAACTCTTAGAAGGTAAAAAAAAAAAAAAGTATTACATTTTATTTACAAATATCTTGAAGTATTTTTCTTTGCCTGCCAGAGTTACATTATAATGTTAGTGACGGCATGTTTTTGTATCCAGTTCCAGTCTGTCAGGAGATGTGAGTACCTCTAACTTAAAGGTAGTTATGACAGCGGATGTTTTGCAGGAGGCAGTTTTGTCCTTTGTACAATTTGTACGTGGTTACATTTCCTCTGCCTTTATTGTCAGGCAGGCAATTGTAAAGGTTAAGCTACATGTTCCTTTTTTTCAAAACAATGTTTGTATTTAACCTTTTGCTGTAAACTCCCTGTTTATTGTCAGTCTTCTAAAAGTCCTAATATATTGTAGTGAGAGTATAAATTCATTGCTCATGATTTTGTCAGTCACTAGCAAAATGTCTCATTCTGCCCAATAATAGGATAGGTTTATTAAATTGTGAAACAAATAATTCGATTTTTAGGTGTTCTAAACTGGAAAAAGTTATTTTATCAAGCCCTCAAATGTAGGAGAATGGTGCACAAAGGTTTCTGAGAGGTGAATCATACCTTTTATAAATTGATCCGATTTTAAAATGTTGTGTTGAAATAGTTTCTTGTAAACATTTATGCATCTCTGTGTTCAACCCCGGCCTTTACAGAATGCAGCTGTTCAGATTGTTAAAGGAGTTAACTTGCCACAGTTACATATTTTTACATGGTTTCTTGTTAGATTCAGTGTAGTTTATAATATATAATAAAGGTTATAGACAACAGTCACATCACATGACAATGGTGGTCTGTAAAGAGTCCAAAACAGAGGATATTTAGTGGAACAACATTCATAAATGTGTCCATTATATCTAAAATATCTTCATGAAACACGTTCTTATAATTATTTTATTTTATGATTTTGATAGTTACAATTTGATGTGTTGCTTTCCCTCAAAGAGGGGATACAATCTTTTAGATTTTGGACTTTTGGTCGGATGAATAGACTGTTTCAGATCCCATTGTGACAGATATTTTTGAATATTTTGTATGTTTTAATATCATTAACTTAAGAAAAAAATGGTCACATGTCTCAGTTGTAAATAATCAATATCTGCTGTGATTCAAGATTCAAATGACGTAGAATGTTCACAAAATTTACAAATTAATTAAAGAAAATATCATGTTCAATTAACAATGCCAAAGCCAATAAAAACATCACTAGAGTCGACTGTACATACCCATTAAAAATAGAGAACACAGAAAAAACGTTTCTAAACCACAGAAGTCAACAGTCTAACGTTTGTACAGTCTGTACTGTACCCAATATACAAGCTGTTAATAAACTTTTCAATCAATCAATCAAACACTCCCACAAAATAGGCTACTTGTTTTTTTTACATAGTCTATGCAGATGATTGTGCTGCATATTATATTTATTTCTGTTATTAAAAGATTTAACAGATCCTAAACGTTTTTAAACCTTTTTTTTTTAAATATGGGTGTCATCTAAATTCAATGAATGTGTTTGCGGTTTAAAAAATATATACATTTAGGGTATATATGTAGATGGTGTGAGAAAATAAGTAGGCCTAACACAAACAACCGTTGGAAACAGTTACTTATTCAATGTTTCCATAGTAACCCAAGACTGTCAAACTGCCTGAATGAAGCTAAAATATCTAGTGCTAGTGTGTTTTATTTGTTTTGTTAAACGTATTAATATCTCATCTTTTATATATATATGTATTATTTTTGATCTCCTCCCTGGTTGACTCCACAGAAACCCTCATGGGGAAACAGCAGGTAGGCGGGTCAGAGATGACGTACAGCCGCTCTACATAAAGGTAGTCTCAGGGTGTGTCTCTCAAGGTTGAAGGTAGTGCGACATTTAAGGAGTTGTTAGAGGGCGAATTTATCAAAGAAGAGCAAAGCTGAGAGCGTGTAAACACACAGACATGGATTTAACTCGGTTACTGTCGCTACTTTTGATTTTCTGCTGCTTTTCGGCCTCATGTGCAGCAGGTAAGACCGGAAGTTTCTCTCTTTATTGTGTCGAGGAGCCCACTTTACATACCGGGCTCGCGAGACATTACCAGACTCATCTCTAAATTAAGATACACTTACTGTAGTCATTTTTTAAATGATTTTAAACTAAAAGTTTTTAAAACGGTGTTGTAATAATTAGAGGGAATCTTTGGAAATTGTTATGTTTTACTTTGGGTGGTGGTCAGCTCCCAAACAGACAGGAGTGACGGGAAATGTAGGCATTAATATGCATCTATCGTAATTGCCATAATATACCTCTTAATATTAAGGAAAAACTGCATTATTATTATTTGTATTATTAACCGCTATTGTGGAGTAGTTCATTTGTCATTTTGTATTTTGTTTATTCATTTATTTCTCTGTAGGCTACAGCACTTTTTTCCTGTGGTTTCGAAGGGCTTTACAAATATAGCTGTATTTTATTGTACATTACATTGCTCAAGCTACAGTACTTGTAGATATTGTAAAGAAAGTTAAAGGCAGTTAGAAATACTTATTTTATTAAAGATTCATGTACCAGTTATTTATCTTTTAACCTTTTGCCTAAAAAGTTTCGAAAAAATAACCATAGAACAATTTTTTTTTTTTTTGGTCAAACAATATTCCTTGACATAGGATATAAAACGACGAAGCATCTTAACTTTTAGGAATATACAAAGTTCAGTATATTTTTGTTTGAAAAATGATTAATCGAATATCATAATTTTGTCCATTTTTTTGTTGTAGGACAAGGCCGGGGATTCGCTGGGTTTAAGGATGCTGTCAACTCAAATCAAGTTGTTGTGGACCAGCAAACAATTGACACACTGAAGAGTAATCTCACCACAGTCTTCATCCCTATCCTCTACATCATTGTGTTTGCGGTGGGACTTCCTGCCAATGGCATGGCCATCTGGGTGTTCCTCTTTAGGATGAAGAAGAAGCACCCGTCCTCCATCTACATGGCCAACTTAGCTCTGGCTGACTTGCTCTTTGTCATTTGGGCACCTCTAAAAATCCAATACCATTTTAACGGCAACAACTGGATCTACGGGGAGGCGCTGTGCAAAGTCTTTGTGAGCTTCTTCTATGGGAACATGTACTGCTCCATGCTTTTCATCACCTGCCTCAGTGTGCAGAGGTACTGGGTGGTGGCTCACCCTCTGTCCCAGCAAAGGAAGAACAACAAAGTGGCGGTCGGTGTTTGCGTGGCCATCTGGGCTTTCATCTGGATCACCAGCACGCCTCTGTACCTGTACGACCACACCGCACAACTCAAAGACCCCAACATCACCACCTGCCACGATGTCAACATCATCGAGGACCCTCTCAACCCGTTCCCCTCTGTGCAGCTGCCTTACTACTACTTCATCTTCATGGGATTGGTGGTGTTCCTGGTCCCTTGTATAGTGATCGTGGTGGCGTATGTTCTGCTTCTCCGAGCACTGGGGAACAGCATGGAGGCCAGCACGGCAGCAAAGAACCGCCACAGAGCCGTGGTGCTGATCGTGACCGTGCTCTTTACTTTTCTGGTGTGCTTCATCCCCAGTAACATCATGCTGGTGGTGCACTACTCTCTCCTGAAGGATGGAGTGATTAATAACGGTTACAGCTTCTACATCTCCACATTATGCCTGGCCAGCCTCAACAGCTGCCTGGACCCGTTTATCTACTACTTTGTGTCGGAGGACTTCAGGAACCACGTGAAGAACACTCTCCTCTGCAGGAGCAGCCGGACCGTGGAGAGGATGAGGGTTTCATTCAGCTCCATGAAATACTCCAGGAAGAGCAAGTCGTACATGTCGGAGAGTGGGAACACACAGAGCAGCTCCTGCTAGAGGTATGATGGATGAAGGAAACAATAGAAAGACTAAAAGGGTATCAAGGCTGTGTTTATTCACTGAAAACATGGTGCCCCACAGACATGGGACGCAAAAAGGTGTGTGATTAGTGCTGGTTAGTCATAACCACGTTACCTCAACACATCAGATAACCAAAGATTAATTATAAATGTGAAGATGACTGTGCTGGGACGAGAGCGGAGGACTTTTAAAGATGTCAAATACTTAATTATGAACTGTTGTTTAGTGTTCAAATGTGAAACATGCATGTATATTTTCATTTTTATACATATTAATGGAGAGAAAGCCTGTTAAAGACTGATATTAAGTTCTCTTGGCCGCACAAAATATTTGCCAGGATTTTTGAATGACCAGTAACTGCACTGAAGACTATTTTAAAGATTATTTTAATTAAGGATTGATTAAGGATTGATCTTGATTAATCAAATAGCGAAACATTTCTATTCCATTTTCTCAAAGTCAAATATAATATCTTTCAATATCAGTTCAATATCATATAAAACAAAGAAAAGTAGGAAATGTATTTTTAAAACAAAGCAACATCTTTAGTAAAAGAACCAAATTGACTGGATATGTTCAGAAGAATAGAGCAATAGAGAATATCAAGTTAAGCG